CCAAAGTTGTAAAGTTCATTTTCGACATAACGACTTGTACGTCTCATTGTTGCAATGGGTCCACGTGTATCCCTATTTAAACGACTTGTTTTTTCCCTTTCCCTCCACAAATTATAACATCAAAGGAATATTTCTATGGGAGAGCCAAGCATACTCCCAAGGAAGGGTATGGTTTCTAATAAATAGTCAGGCCACTATATCACCTTAAGCTACCATATCACCTATCACATCATATTCAACAACTATTTATTAAGTATCAATCACAGGCCATTTACAAAGCTAAGCACTGAGAGTGCAAAGCCCTTGTGAGTTACTGTTTAGCAATGAAATGGACATAAATGCATATGAGTATATAATCCATACTATGATAAAACCATGAAGAAACACTGCTAACGGAGGAAGAGTTTTAATATGGGCAAATACATGCCTTTCTTTATCCAAGATGAATTATGATTTATAAAGTGATGCAATGTCTATAATTCACTTTAAATTACTTTGGTATACATGTGATGTGTACATGGGTAATTAATTTTTTATCCTTATTCTTAGGAACAATTAACATTTTTCTATATTATGTACATAATATATGTTATTTTTTTAAAAGTAGTTAGTGAGCTTTTAAAAGAATCCAATTAGGTATACATCCTCCAGTGCATCCTATAAAAAAAATCTCTACAGGGCTGGGAAGGTGGCTCAGTGGCAGAGTGCTTGCCTTGCATGCATGAGGTCCTGGGTTCGATTCCTCAGCACCACATAAGCAGAAAAAGCTGGAGAAGTGGTGCTGTGGCTCAAGTGGTGGAGTGCTAGCCTTGAGCTGCAGAGCTGAGGGACAGCGCCTAGGTCGAGTTCAGGTCCCACGTCCAGCAAAAAAAAAAAAAAAAACTCTACATAATATTCTTTAAGTCTGCATTAGATATCTTATTTTTTTTAGATATCTTATTAACTAGCATAAAGGAGATTAGAAAAAACTTTTCGCTAATTAAATAGAGTTCAAGCCCACAGATTGAAATCATACCCAGCACCTCCATCCTTGTTAAACTACATGTAAGAACTGGCAAGCCAGGCAGAATAGTAGCACTCTGTGTTACAACAAATCTTGTACCAAATTTTGTAGCTAATGCAACTAGACAGCTAGACAACTCTGAAACTGGAATATGGCTGAGGCTGCCTTGAGTAGTTCATTCAAACTACTTGTCAGCTGAGAGCTGAGAGCTGAAATTTCACTGGGTTTCCAAACAAGTTCTACTACTATTTTTTGTGCCTCTTTGCTAATAAAAGCATATCTTTTGGCTGATTGCAGACCAGAACTTACTTTCATTATAGCAAGCACCCTACAGGTATGGGAGGTTAAAAGAAAATGAATGCCTATAGCTAATAGCTCTAAACTGCCAGATGTTCTCTGACATGTATAAACTCTCTAATTGGTTTGGAAAGGATCTTTTCATTTCTCTCTCTTTTTTTATTTCAGTCCTTTGGCTTGAACTCAGGTCTAGGCATTGTCCCTGAGTATCTTTCGCTCAAGGCTAGTACTCTACCACTTGAGCCAAAGCACCACTTCTGGCTTTTACTATTTATGTGATACTGAGGAATCAAACCCAGGGTTTCATGCATGCTAGGCAAGCACTCTACCACTAAGCCACATTCCCAGCCACCAATTTCTCTTATACACAGAAAGCTTCATGTAACAATAGTCTTTTCCTAACTTTATGAAAATAATTTAGAAAAAAGCTAAACAGGTTCATGCCTATGATACCAGCACTCAGGAGACAGGGACATGAGGAAGGTGAGTTTTAAGCAAGCCTGGGCTACAGATGAAGACCCTGTCTCAAAAGCAAGGAAAAAAGTCAACGGGCCCTGGGTATGGTGTCATGTGTCTAAAATTCCAGATATTTGATAGGCTATGGTGGAAGGACTGCTTGATTGCAGGAGTTTGAAGACAGCAACACAGTGGACAACATAATGAGACCCTGTCTCAACTAGGGTGGATTTGGAGCAGGGCTCAGTGGTATAGCCCTTGCTGAAAATGGGCTTGAGTCCCAGCATCACCAAAAAAAAAAAAAGGAAAAATTTAAACTAACTGGCTGGAGTGTAATTATATACAGCACTCACTTAGAAGGCCTCTGACCAAGAGGAAAAAACCCACAGGAGAAACTTACCTAAAATGTAAGAGTTTAGGGAATGACAAAGACTGGGTGGATCCAACCATATGATCATACTGAGGTTCTGATCTAGAAGATAAACAGATCTCTAATGATTTAATCGCAATATAAAATTATACGTTTCCCAATAAATGACAAGTTCACCTCCAAAGCAAATTCAAGAGCCTAACTGCATCTGTCCTGATTAAATTCACTTTAAGCATAAGAAATATAATTGAGCCGGGTACTGGTGGCTCACTCCTGCAATCTAGGTACTCAGGAGGCTGAGATCTGAGGATCATGATTCAAAGTCAGCCCAGACAGGAAAGTCCATGAG